GAGAGGCTTGGCGCAAGGTAGCTCGGGCGCGCTCTCGGTCTCCGTGGGGGCGTCTCGATCCGGATCTGGGGACTTGAGCTTGTCATGCTTCTTCTGAAGACCTTGTGGTGACACGCGAGAACTACCGGCCGAAAGCTCTGCGCTCTGGCGCCGACGATGGTGACGCTCAAGGGTGCCGCTCTCTTCTTGAAGACGTCGTCGTGGTGTTCCCATCCGTGTCCGGGTTCCAGGTGAAAACCTTTGTCCATTGTGGACTCGACAGCGGCGACGCTTGGCGCCGGCATCCCTCTGAGGGCGTTGTCGTGGAGCTTAGGTGTATAGGGCGTAGCATGGCGTTGTACTCGGTCCTCCTGTGCTTTTTCGTCGGTACCATTGGTGATCCGTTTATTCTGGGATCGGCTTTGTAAGAGGACTACCTCTCCACCTTGTATCATTCGGCCGTGTACTTTGTTCGGTTGTTGCTTTATATATAAAAGCGGGGGTGAAAGCCTGTTTCGAGAGAGTTGATTGAGTTATTAGCATGAATTCTGGAGATGCTATATCTTCAAAGTTTCAACTGCATGACAACTAGATATGGTTGACCAACTGTGAGCCTTGACATTCAGAATACTAGGGGTTGCATGTTTCTCAGTTTTCACTTTGCACAAAGCTACTACACATTTTGTTGAATGATTGCTCTGCTTCTTGTATGTTCATATTTTCTGCGCATTACTCTGTTTTGTCACAGTTTTCAAGCACCCTGTTATGTCTAGTTATGTTCCTTGTGGCTGCTGCTGTACCAAGTTGCTACATGTTGTGTACACACCTTGTCTATCTACTAATATAAGATCCCACACCATTGTTTATTTCAGGCTTCTACAAGTTAACTTCTAGTGATGCTGTTAGCGTACCCACTACAGTAGCTGAATAATATACCTTGCTTAGTGAACCCACTAACTCATCATATATATTGTTACATAATCTGGCCCACTTGTTACCAAACTTTATGCATCGCTGCTTTTCTGCTTTATTACTTTTTAGCTACTTTCCCTTGCTATTTAAGCACCATTCGGGGTCGGTGAGATCCATCTCTTGGCTGGCTAAGAACCCTAGCTACAGTACTTCTAGATCGAGCAATCCATCGTCTTAAAGTGGCCTACTTTCTGTGTTTTGCGTTTCATTTCTGAAGATCATTGACAGATCCTTAGTTAGCGCCTGCCAATACCATACTTGCTGGTATTGATGAATCTAGCCTCGTATTAGATGGCTTCTGTAACCAGCTTGCTTCATGTCGTGTGCACACCTTCTGTTAATTGATATAAGAAGATCCCGCACAGGCGTTTAGTTCAGGCTACCGGGAGTCAACTCCTGGTGAGGCTATTAGCACACTATGTATGGCATTTCAGTCCGACAACACTAGCTGAATAATCTACCTTGCTTAGTGAATCCAGTAAGCCATCTTATATACTGTTATGTAGTGTGGCTCAGCTTTAAGAACTTAATCGCTTGAATGAAATGTACAGCCTGATTTTATTACTACACTCTGACTGTTGCTATGTGTTACTATTGGACTACATCTTCACTTGTTCTAATCAGGCTGTATTTTGTTGTTACATCAATTATAGGCGCTCGCAACTGAGGTCTTCAACAGTCAACACACACGCGCGGCGCATGAATGCAGGCAGGCACACGTTTTTGGAGAGCTAACCTGAATATCTCTGATGGTTCTGTAGTGAGTGCTGTAATGTTTACCTCAAGTTGCTACTCTGTGTTTGCATGAGGATGAGGTGTGCTTGATGTGAGTGTGGCTTGTTCCAACCGTGGATGTACCTAGTTGCTCTGTGACGAGAGATAATTCAAGGAATCCTTGCCTTCGGTGGTGGGTTATAAAACATGATCAAGCGGTGACCTGCTTCGACTTGGGCGCGCAGTCATCGCGGAAATCTGGGCATGAACGATCAGGCGCCAATCTAGACAACAGCACATTGCGGAAAACTGTAGTTGTAGCGCCGACACATCGCTGAAAGTTTCTCGTGCTATATAACTAACTAATACTCACTTCGGATTTAACTGTCGCTGAAATCAGTGACAGTTACTTCATAGCTTGGTACAGAATACATTATCCTAACAGGACAGTTCACAATCTCCAATTACCAGCATTCATGTCAATGCTATACCAACCAGGGCCAGGGTCAAGGCTGAATGATCCACAGCTAAACCAATCACCAACATTCACGAGTTCATTACAATATAAGATCAATACACTTCTACTTCACTACTTCACTGCTTCAGGAACCTAGGTACTTGGGCTCAGCGCTTCCGCTTCTGTGTGCGCCACTGCCTCAGCACGTACTGGACCACTTCTTTCAGGGTTGCCTTCCTATTCTCTTTGTAGTTCCACAGCTCCGGCACGGAATAGCGGCCGCTAGGGTTGTACTCATTCACTTCAAGCAAAGCCTTTGTCACCAACCCATAGACTTCCTCACCATGCTCTTCTTTCAGTTCCTGCAGCTTCTCGTCATCCTCACGGAGAATTTCCTAACATCAACGCACACACCATTAGATAAACATACTACTCCATTTTAAACATGTAAGATAAAACAGGCACCAAAAGCTTCAAAACTTCGTGCGCTCCACAAATATGCCTAAGACAGACAGTGATCAACGATCTTGTGCTGTGAATTTAGCAAAGTATTCATATAGGAGCTATGTAGTGTCTAAATGCTGCCACAGTATAACAAAACATGGATGAACAAAAATAATTTATGTGTGTGAAATAATGTAAGACACGCCTGCTTCATTACATAGTAATGCATGACTGCATTAATAAACCAGTATATCAAATATACATACACAATGACCTTTCCATGCATGTGGAACAAGCATGCTACAAAAAGTTCAGGGGGCAAACATTGTTTGCAGATGACAGGAGGGCTTTGAGCTCCATGTATCAAGTATCATGTCAAATTCCAACAGCCAAGACATGTTGTGTCCAGCTTAACCAAGCTAGGAACTGAGAACCAACTTTTAATTGACTAAGGAATATCATAAAAGCGTCCCTATCATAAACTTCTAGGAGAGGGGGAGTTATTAGCATCCGGCAATGTGGATACTGAGTGGCAAGCTTTTTATCAGTAAGAAGTTTGGTTACTCCATGAGCAAATGCTAGATGTACTATCTTTCCAAAAAGCTTGCGAATTAAATATAACTTAACTGGTATAGAACTGACCATCAGCTTCAAAGAAAAACAATAAATGGAAGAAAGAGAGTCTTGAATAGATACAAGTCACCATTTATTTAATTAGATGCTATATATCTCAATCAAGAGCAGCTAACATCAACATAAGGTTTTGCACACAGGAACTCAAAAATCTAGCTTCCTAGCATTGAAGTTGCACAAATATATGCATATGACCAAGCTCTCCACAAGCTGCTAAATCAAGTAAATGAAACTTATCTAACATTCACAACAAGCATAGATACATATGGCTAATTTTTCAGATTCCTTCATCAAGAATCCAATATTTGCTATTGCACAAAAGAAAATTATTTATGGCATAGCCTAATTGACTTTCTAATTGGTTAGCTGTAAAAGATATCGTGCGGTAGCTTACATCCACAGTTGACACTATGCCATGAAAAACAAGATATTTATAACTCCCATGAAAAAACTAGATTAAAAATTACACAAGAATATAGCCCCTTGGCTGGTTACAATTGGTGGCTGACGTTTTCTTGTTTCCTCCACTCTTATTTGCATGTAATGAAGGACCAAGGAAGTAACAGATGGAGGAAACAGAAAGGACCTGATTAGTAATGTAACAAATGTTTCTGGGTCAGGCTCAAACACAGCAAGATTCAGAAATGATAACACTATCCGGAGCCCTTAACTCAGTAAGTCCAATGTTTGTATTATGGAATGTTCTTTCTCTCGCTATCTATGGTTGATAATACTTTTGATCAACAGATTAAGTATTTTCCCTTTCCATTATTAATGTGAGAATTTCTGCTACTTTTGTCCCTTTAGATTAATGTAAGAATATGCAGGGCAGTAAATTAAACTTTGTGTCTCCAATTTTCAGCTCTCACCACAATTTACTTATGAATAGATGAACCGAGTTAATGTTTGCAGAACAGGAAATTCAATGTGAAATTGATAACTCGAGTTACAAGCTATTAGAGAACATCAAGTGTATAAAAGCAAGAGCGAAGATATTACTACCTTCTCTCTGCCCTCGACCATGATAACTTTAAAAGGGTGCCATTCTGGATTTTTAATCTCCTCTTCCCACTTTGAACAAAGAATGGAAGCAGTTACTTCTGCATCTTCTTCTGACATTTTACCTTTGCAAGCCTTAGCAAATGATTTCAGGTCAAGATCACCCATTCTTTTAACGCCTATAGTTGCTCGGGCAGTTGTAACATCCCGCAGACCCTGCAGCATATGCAATAGATAGCTTTGAAATGTAATTCAAACATAATACTAGACAAATCCAAGTACTCAATCGATGAGATAACTTACATCTATTAGCTTCTTCCGAGCATCTTGCAACTCATCGTTGCTTATCCTTTCCTTCATAAGCAGAGTGTGGTGGAGTGCTTCCACTGCATCCATTTCATCATACTTGTCCTGAAGCTCGGCACTAAGTTCATCTATTTTCCTCTTTGATTCAGAGTCTTCTTCACCTGGCATATGCTTCATCACTTCCAATTTTCCCTGCAACTGTTTTATTTCTAGCTCAAGCTTCTGTTTGGCATCCAGTTTCTGCTCTAACTTGATAATCTCATCTAGAGCAGCCTTTTTCTCCCTCTGCAGTTTGCCATTTTCAGCACAGGAAGACAGTCATAGATATTAGTATCTCAAAACCTCAAGTAAAACAATATATAGTAAGGCACAAACCTTGTGTTTTGCCACAAGCTTCAGCACATTTTCATCTGCCCTCTGTTGCTCCGACGTTGCCATCTTAAGATACTTTGCTTTGATCTCATTCTGTATTCACCACAACAGCCTGACATGAGTTTTATGCGGAGATACTGGGGGGGGGGGTACCAAATGGCATCTACATTTCACGCCTACTGTCATGCCCTCTCTAGAAGTAAAAAAACAAATTACGTGCATTTTGTTGAAATTGTCCTACTGTTAAACCTCTCTGCAATCTATTGCCGTCCAAGAGTGGAATTTCGAGTGACGACAAAAATAAGAAAAATGCAATTATAGGAATCTATTTATTATATTGTTAAACCAACATGAAATGAAAGGTGAAGATTCACCAATTTAAGGTTAGAAAAATTGGACAGTAGAGATTCATCAAGATCAACTTAACAACAAAAACTAAGACGTTCAGATGGACGCACGCGCACAAAACCATAGACCAATTTCAACTGACAATAGTGCTTGGTATAGAACTGTAAGATAAAACTAGGAAAGAACTTATGTACATCTGAATCAGAATCCCATACGCGTGCTCCTCTCAAAATAAGAGCATGTACGCTTAAATCAGCTTAGGAATCGAATAGGGAAAGTCACCAATGCATCTCAATTAAGGCATACTCCTCGTGAAAAATCAGAGCCCGCACACTTGAATCAGCTTAGGAGTCAAATTACGAAACGTCATGCATCCCAATTTGTACTACACGTCAACTTCAGAGTTCAGGCTACTACTCTTAGAAATTTGAGCAAAGTGCAAATGAATAGTAATGTCGAACTGATCAAGTTCTGGAAAATATAAAAACCCACGCATCTCAAAACTACATGTCAAACGCAAGAAAAGTCTAACAAAAACTGTCAGTAGATCTCGACTGAACAATATAGAAATACTTTCTGCAGATTCAATAGCGATACTAGTACGCACAGCGTTAAGAAAGAAAGGTTCACAGCATTACGTCCAAGAGTGGCATCTACATTTCACGCCTACCGTCATGCCCTCTCTAGAAGTAAAAAACAAATTACGTGCATTTTGCTGAAATTGTCCTACTGTTAAACCTCTCTGCAATCTATTGCCGTCCAAGAGTGGAATTTCGAGTGACGACAAAAATAAGAAAAATGCAATGATATGAATCTATTTATTATATTGTTAAACCAACATGAAATGAAAGGTGAAGATTCACCAATTTAAGGTTAGAAAAATCGGACAGTAGAGATTCATCAAGATCAACTTAACAACAAAAACTAAGACGTTCAGATGGACGCACGCGCACAAAACCATAGACCAATTTCAACTGACAATAGTGCTTGGTATAGAACTGTAAGATAAAACTAGGAAAGAATTTATGTACATCTGAATCAGAATCCCATACGTGTGCTCCTCTCAAAATAAGAGCATGTACGCTTAAATCAGCTTAGGAATCGAATAGGGAAAGTCACCAATGCATCTCAATTAAGGCATACTCCTCGTGAAAAATCAGAGCCCGCACACTTGAATCAGCTTAGGAGTCAAATTACGAAACGTCATGCATCCCAATTTGTACTACGCGTCAACTTCAGAGTTCAGGCTACTACTCTTAGAAATTTGAGCAAAGTGCAAATGAATAGTAATGTCGAACTGATCAAGTTCTGGAAAATATAAAAACCCGCGCATCTCAAAACTACATGTCAAACGCAAGAAAAGTGCAACAAAAACTGTCAGTAGATCTCGACTGAACAATATAGAAATACTTTCTGCAGATTCAATAGCGATACTAGTACGCAAAGCGTTAAGAAAGAAAGGTTCACAGCATTTACTTCTAATGGCCAACATGATAACATCTTTGATTGCTTCTATAAAAAAATAGAATATCTACATCACATATTTTGATGTATTTCAGAGTAATAGGAAACGCTACGAAGGTTATTTTGATGAATGTACTATAACGGTGTTTATGCACTAGAAGAAAGTATCTACTTAAAGCATTTATTTTGGTAATATCAGATCGCAACGGTGTAGATTACTATGAAATTGTGTAAAATAAGGCCAGCAATTTTAGTGTAACATGCCATGGATCTAAGTACATGCATCGGGTGCATAGTTCTATAACCATGCATGCACATATGGATTGGCGGTCAAAAGTTTACAGCAACTAAAAAAGACAGAGAGAAGTGGTAGATTGGAAAGGATCATAAGTCTAAGCATGCATAAGGACCACATACAGAGCATGCATGCCATCAGGTAAGAATGGTCGATGGTAATGCATTGTGTGTAAGCGAAAATACATAGTATATAAAATGCAAAATGGTGTCATTGTTGTCAAAGTAAATATGGGACGCAACAAATCACGTGAGTATCTAGTATGTAGTTTCAGCCGTGCTGAAAAATATAAGCCTATGCAATACAGCATGTGTACAACAGGAGAAGAAACTACCACAAGAGAAAATATTGTAGCAATTTTGAATAAATATGCCCAGATAATGACATGCCTTAGATGGGTAGATGACAGAAACAACTAGAGCAATAGAGGATGCATGGAAGCATCAGAAGGCATGATATTTGCATTAGATAAAAGGACAACTAAAAAACCAGAACACGATGTTTAAGTACTGGTGCCCCACGTTTGAATTTAATTCATGCTGGAGAATACGGAAAAAATATATTCTCAGTAAGATAGGGAACATGAGATAAACAAGAGTGGATGAGGTAAAATTAGAGGTTAGTAAGAAAGTCTATTGTTCTGTATATAGTGGGCCACGGATCTCAATGCTAACAGTCTTCCTTTGTTAAATAAAATACACTCGCTAGTGGCTACCGTTATTTTCTATATTAGAAAGACATACAAATATTAATGAATGTGGCATGAATTAAATCGTGGATCATTCATTTACAAATAGGAAGGAGAAGAAAATTCCAATATTAATGCCATGTAGTAATTCTAGCCGCGCATATGCACAGGTCATCCAGCTAGTTACTAGTAAACAGAAAGATGCTATTTAAAAGAAGCACAGAAACAATCAACCATACTTGAAAACAAACAAAAGGAGAGGACACAAAAAACTAACTTCCATAATTCTTTATCGGTGACAATGGACACGCACCTTCTCCTTCTCTTTCTCAAGGTTCCTTCTATCCGAGTCACTTCGCACAGCAAGCTCATCAAGCTGCCTGGATTTGAATTCAAGATCCTGCATCTTCGCCTCCAGTTCCGAACGAAGCTTCTGATTCTCATTAAGGATCATCTGAGAATGCCTACGAGCAAGTTGCTGCATCTTGCGGATTTCTGGTGATAATGCAAGTTCAAAATGCATAATTAGATAACTGAAAGGGAAAGGCCCCAATGCTCAAAGGAGATAAATGCACATATGCTGTTCTACCATAACAGAACATATAAACAGCAAAAGATTGCAGACCAACCATCATTGTATCTCTGGAGGACCAGCTCCTTTTCTTCCATCACCTTGTCAAGTGAGGTGGTTGTCTCATTGTACTTGCATTCAAGTTCTTGGGCATGCTTGGTCTTTACCTCAATTGCGCTGGCTAAATTAGCTACCAGCTTGTCGGTTTTGCGCGTTCCTTCATTCTCAAGTTCTGCAACGGTTTTCAGATCACCATTTTTCTGCAGATGCTCCCCGATCGGTCCCGGGGCTCTCTGATCATCAGCCCTTGCAACCCATCCAAACATCTCGCGCCCTTGATACTTGCGCTGCTCCCAGTCCCGCTTGCCATGTCCTTCTGCCTCAAAGTGGTTCTCAAACTTGAAGGCATTGCAGAAAGAAGCATAGTCTTTTCCAAACTCAACGATGGCGTTCCCGGTGTGGCCTCTATAGTTCCACAAAGGAATGACCTTGTGCGGGCAAAAGGCCAAGAGCTGCTCCTTCAGGCGGTTCCCACTTTCCCCGACCTGGCGCCCTCCTTTCCACTCAGTAGGCACATTGACCAACACTCCCATCCAGGGCCAGACGAACTGCTCGTCTCTGTTCTGAGCGGAGTGGGGCTCCAGCTCCACAGCCTTCTTCAGCCGTGACGGCGGTGGCTCCGATGTGTCAGGCGATTCATCCTTCAGGCACTTGGTAAGGACGAACTGCTCGTCTCTGTTCTGAACGGGGTGAGGCTCCAGCTCCACAGCCTTCTTCAGCCGTGACGGCGGTGGCTCCGATGTGTCAGGCGATTCATCCTTCAGGCGCTTGGTAAGGACGCGGTCTCCCCCATGGCGATTAGCATCTGGACCTGCTCCAGTCGCGTCACGCTGAGGCAGGCCGTCTCTGCTCCTAGAACCCGTTTCCTCGCGAATCCTGCCAAAATCGGAAAAGAAAGGCGCTAAATTGCAGGCAGCTGGCGCGTTCCTTGATTTCGCAGGGCGTAGAGCGAGATCTCAACAGACGGAAAGAGGAGGGGTTGGGCATCACGTACCGTTCAGGCGCATCGCCGGAATCCATGGATGGCCGCCGCTGGCAGACGCCGCCACAACCAACCTAGGTTTTAAGGCCCCGAGAGGATCAGTCCAATGTCGCTCAAAGGAAGGGGCGGGGAGGAGACGGACCACGAACGATGGGCGAGGGAGGGTCCGGGCTCACCTTGCGGTCCGCGGCGGCGCTGGGTGAGGCGAGCCGCCGCCTTGCTGTGTAGTGTACGGCGCTGTGGCCGGGCGGGGGGCAGAGCAGAGGAGATGATCACGTGATCGAGGAGGCGAAAGGCCGAAATGTCCAAATGGGGGAGACGGGGAGGGGGCGCTGAGCAAGTGAGCAAGTGAGTAGTAGTATATTTTTTTATGGGATGTCCTAGAAGAAGGGACAGCGATGCATAAATTTTGAGTACCTCAATTCATTTTCTAGGTACATGAGTGAAGATTTGGGTAGGCAAAAAGATTCTGCTTTTACAACATATATACCTAAAATTGATACCCACATTTCCAGAACCACATGGAACATAAAGATGTCGGTGGGAGGCCTGAATCGGGCGGAATCGTCGCGCGTCGGCCGAAGCGGGAGGTGGCGACAGCGGAACTCAGGGAACGATTATGTCGGGCTATCGGGATGCGGACCCGATGGCGAGGATGCGGGCTCTGACCGGCACGGCGCCATAGCTCGGAAAACCGGAGGGGGGAAGGGGGGAGGGGGGTGCGTGAAGGGAGGAGATCAGCGTGACCAAGTGGCGACGGCTGTCTTGGAGGTTGCAGTAGATGGCCCCGAGCGGCGGGGCTCATGATGGCCGACCAGCCGGCGGCCAAAATCAACCAGCGGGGAATGGGAGGGTGCGGGGCAGGGTGACGATTTTTTGTCAAAAAAGACCTCCTTCTCAACAGAATTGCCAAAAAAGACCTCCTCTGAATAAAATTGGCAAAAAAGACCCCTGAACCGTGGCGGCAGGCGCGGCGGCCGGCACGCGGCACCTGCCGCCACCGGGAAAGACGGCAGCCCCTGCCGCCAGCCAGCCAGGCGGCAGGCTGCCCATAACAGCGAGCGGCTAATCGCTACGGAACGGAGGCCGGTGGTGGGCACTGCCGCCTCGTCCGGTGGCGGCAGGACTGCTGCTAGCTGCAGCAAGACCTGATGCATGCATGTGCTAGTACGTCGTGGCCTCTGGACAGCTAGCTTTGCCATGCATGCATCGCACTAGTGTATGCACAATACAAGCCCTTGTATTTTTAAAATACGTGCGGGTATAACCTGCACTTAAAACCATCGAAGATCCAAAATATGCAATGTGAGGTGAATAAATAAATAAATGAGAGCATCGAAACAGATCGATCCAGACGGTTGCGGGAGGTTTGAGTTCTGTGAGATGCCCTAAGTTTTTTTTAAGGGGAAAGAGATGCCCTAAGTTGAGAAGGGTAGATATCCAATTGTCCGTGGATCAGATAATTAAGAGAGTGACGGGATGAAAATACCCTAAAAGAATATGAGAAAAGCTTACCTTCTGCCGGCTGATCGCGCGCGCCTGTCCGCCGGCTTTGTGGCCGTCTGATCTGTGTTTTATCAGACGGCCGAGAGCACTCCCGCGTCCGCTGGAGGCACGTCCGTTTCCTGCAACTCACCTCTTGTTTCAAGACAACTGAATAATAGAAGAGTGTTTCATCCCACAGCAGCGTGGGCTTGTGTGGCTGGGAGTGTGAGCGGCTGGATTTGCGAGGGCGGGACGCGGCGGCGCAAGGAGTTGGGCGATTGGGGCTTATCCAACGCGGTGGCATCAACGACGGGCTCGGGATCGGCGGTGGCCGGCGACGACTCAAGCAGGTACGGATCAGAGATCCGTTCCCCGATTTTCTGGCCGATGTGACGATGGTGATGCTCCCTACTATTTCTCCTCTGCGCCTTCCGGCCTCTACACCGGTGTGTACATGGCGTTTTTTTGCATGGCGCTCCCTATTTGCGGTGATGATTCGGCAGTATCATATGAGAGAGGAAGTTTTGTTTTAGAGAAGTAGTAGAGCTTATTTTGGATCTTCATTGATTTTAAATGCAGGTTATACGCGCACGTGTTTTAGAAATACAAAGGCTCATTCAATAAAAAAAGAGAAATACACAGGCTCATATTGTGCGTACACAAGTTGATCGGTTAGTTGACTTTTCATTTTCAGGGGTAGCAAGCTAACTGCCACGATGTACTAGCACATGCAACGATCATTAGCCCTGCTACCACATGCATGCATGCGTTTTGGTTCCGTAGCCCGTGAGCAGCAGAAACAGTCCACCACCGGACGAGGTGGCAGGGCCAACCACCAGCCTCCGTTCCGTAGCGATTTGCCGCTCACTGTTATGGGCAGCCTGCCGCCTGACCGGCTGGCGGCAGGGGCTGCCGCCTCGCGCCGTGGCGGCAGGTGCCACGTGTCAGCTGGCGCACCTGCCGCCACGGCTCAGGGGGTCTTTTCTGTCAATTTTATTCAAAAGGGGTCTTTTTTGTCTATTCCATCGAGAAGGTGATCCTTTTCGACAAAAAATCCAGGGTGACAACGGTGAAAGTTTGCTGGGTTGTAGCTCGACTTGGTGCCACGCCTGTTTTTGTATCTTCATGCAGATTTATGTTGC